GTCGATCTGACCGGAGCGTCCGGTAGTCCCAAAATTTGCCCAATGAAGGGGTAACGGCTAGTTTAGCCCATGGGGCTATAAATAGAAGGTGGTCTCAGCCATGACTGACATTGAGCACCTCGGGGGACTTTGTGTCCATGCTTGTGAGTGCTTGGGAGCCTTCCATCTCACATATGCTTGATAGTGATCATCTGATTATATGAGAGAGCGATTCTAGTGCGATTGCATCATAAGGTTGCATCGAGTGGCACTAGGTGATCGAGTTGCAAGCTGGTGGTGCTTGTTACTCTTGGAGGTTGCCACCTCCTAGACGACTTGGTGGTGGTCTCCGTCGAAGCCCGCAAGAAGCTTGTGCGGTGCTCCGGAGAAGAGCTTTGTGAGGGGCATTGTGCTCGCCCCGCGGGAGCCGCAAAGAGCAACTCTAGTAAAGCGTGTCATTGAGCTACCCTCACTTTCGGGGTAGGTTCTTGCGGTGCCCGACGTGCGGGCTTGGCAGGTGATGCCAATTAGCCGCCGAACCACCAAGTGAGCGGTCGACACAACGGGGACGTAGCGTGTTGGCAAGCACGTGAACCTCGGGAGAAAATCACCGTGTCAACATTGTTCTTTCCGTTGGTTTGCTATCCCCTTTCACAAGCTTGTATTTACTTTCATATGCTTTGTGCTTGTGTAGTTGCTCTTGTAGTTAGTTAGCTTGTGTAGCTCACTAGTTACCTTCTTGCTTGTGTAGCATAGAAGTAGCTCCCTTGCATGGCTAATTTGGTTTGTGTAACCTTGTTAGTCATATTGCTTAGTTTGTGCAGCTAAGTATTTGCGCTCTCTAATTTGGCATTGGTTGCCTTGTTATTGAGCATTGCTAGTGAGCTTAGTTGGCTTTGTGCTTTTGCTTACTAGCATGTGTAGGAGCTCCCTCAATGCTTGAAATACTAGTGGCATAGGTTTGTGTGACCTTGCTCCTAGAATTGGTTAGGTGAGCTCTAGCAAGCCCGGCACCTTTGTTGCTTAATTAGGATCTTTGCAAGTGTTAGAGAACATAGATAGAGGGGTATAGTCTTGGCTAGACTGATAGTTTTAATTCCGCACTTGTTTCGGTTAGCCGACGCGATTAAATTTAGAAACGACTATTCACCCCCCCTCTAGTCGCCATCTCGACCCTACAGAAAGGTAAACACAAGTTCACCAGCATCAATGGTGAATACCCCTCGTCGACCTTCTTGCCCTTCCCCTGCCGCAGGCTTATCCTATGCTGGTGCGTTGGGTTTCGCTACGTTGTCTGCAATCTGGTGACTTACAAATGGTGGTTACTGCCAACCATTCTTTTGGTTCAGCTCGCTTGGGGTTTGATCCAACAGTCTCCTCGCACTTCCATGTGATTAAATATGGGAAGAAGAGGGCCGGTGAGTCCATAGGTGTGAGCATCTACTCATCTAAGAGTGCAGCATGGATGTTTAAGGAATCTGAATGGGGCGAGGGTGTTGTACGCATATATTCAACAAGTGTGTTTCTTAATGGTTTTATGCACTGGTTAGAGTTGTCCCAGATAGTTCTGTTGATATATAGGGAAAGACATGGAGGAAAATTTGTAGGCCACGTGGTAAAGCAATCTCCATCCATGAAGCTCAGGGTCAGTTGTATGTATGTATTGCTAGTATGTTTAGAAAGTATCAGCTTTCATTCTGTGTCCTAGAAGACTATGGTACCGATAATTATACATTGAAGCATACGGTGACCACGCTGGAGATATTTGGACGGAACAATATTGAATTTGGTTACGATATTTGCGATGTGGACTATAGAGTGATTGCAGTTCACCTAGAATAGAATTTGATTTTCCTTGTTGGCTAGGACAAAAAACAGATCGCATATGACATGAACCTCAGAAAAATTCTTGTCCTCCCTGCCCAGGTCCTGCGGTATCGTAGACCTACCTGGAGGCTACGTCCGGAGGGACCTCACTATCTTTCATATATTCCCTTGTTTATGGAGTCAGTAGGAGAGCAGTAAAGTTGCATATGCTGTTCTTTCTTTAGGTAGGAAGTTGTTTTAATTCTATATACAGTCCATTTTTGCCTTGGTAACTAAAGAAATTGTATGTTGAATATTATTAATGCTGCTGTTTTGTGTAAGTTGTGGAGTCTGAGTGCTTTTGAACGATTTTCCTACAATGGTTAAGGGAGGAAGAAGAGGGGTTTCATGGTGCACTGGCTACCAAGTTGAAGGAAGCTTTGCCTTGCAAGGATGAGTGCCAATCTGAACGAGCGGAGCACATCTACCTCATTTTTGTTATGTAAGTCTGTAGCGAGTAGAACTTTTATTCTCCTATTTATGTACCGCTTGTGTTAATTCTTGAGTTGACACAATTGTTATGTTAGTGTTGCTTCTTATTATAAAAAGTACTCTTCGTTGCGGACATGATGAATGATGTGTAATGATTATATCTGTATGGTGTGTGTTCAGTAAGTTATTAAGGCCCATCTAAATTAGTAAATAAATTGTGAAAACCAGATGCAGTTCTGTCACCGTCGGATGTAAGGGTCTTTGTCTGTTTTGTCACCACCGCCGTAACACTCGCCGTTGGTGAAGTAGATGGACAACACCGCCGTTATTCGTCTCATGCAGTAGGGGTCAATAGTGTATCACCGCCGAATCGTACTGCAATGCGACGGTGACCATTACCAATGACCAGACGGTTCATAGGCTGAAGTGACGGTGATGTCCACCTCGACATAGACGCGTCGAGAGCGAAAGCGACGGTGAACACGCACTGCACACAATCGGGTCGTTGTCCAAGGCGACTGTGATCCTAATCATTGGTCAAAAGGGTGTTAGTGTACACCCACACAGGTGGGTCGTAGTACAACGCGACGGAAACAACGACCAGATCACGAACGGATCATAAGCCAACACGGCGATGTTAGTGTACACCAACACAGGCGGGTCGTGCTCCAATGCGACGAAAACAATGACCTGATCACGGACGGATCATAAGCTAACACGGCGGTGTTAGTGTATACCAACACAGCCAGGTCGTGCTCCAATGCGACGGAAGTAAGGACCTTGTCACGGACGGATCATAAGCCAATATGGCGGTGTGAGTGTACACCGCAGACGGTCTCAGATAGCGACGGTGATGACTACGACTATCACTGCCGAGAGCTTACTGCCGAGGCCGAAATTGAACTGCGATGGGGGTTACGACTTGGCTGTGAAAGGTGCGAGTGTAGTAGTGTAGGCGCGCGGTGACCGTGCCCAGATGGCGCCAGCAGCAACACTCAAGGATCAGCATGCAACATTCAAGGATCACCATGCAGGGAAGGCAAGGGGATTTATGGAGTTTATTTCCTTTTACTTAGCAGGCCAAGTGCCTATATAATCCATGTACCAGTCCTCATTTGGATGAGGCAATACTGCAATAACAACCAATTTCCTAATCTCCTCCTCTCTCAATCTCACCTCCCTCACAATTGGGCCCTCAGGGGATAAACCTCACGCCGTTATCGGTCCAGCTACTGAAGCTTCGCTACGGGTCCTGCTACCTTAGGCGCCAACGCCCTTGACAGATACCAAGATTGAAAATATGTGCCCTCTTGCTAACATTTGTTATTGTGAGTTGTGACAGGCCCATTATGCATTTTATTTCCTGAGAGATCTCTAAAAGGTATGCCAATTATAACTAATAAAACTATTATTAGTCAGTTCAAAAAATTTTGTAGATTAAAACACATCAGAAGGCCCAACATAGTGTGTCAAATTTTCTTATCAGTAAGTGTTCCAAAATCTGACCAGGATTCATGGGTCAGTTCAAGGGTCCAAGTTGATTAGATGTATTACGAAATGAATTAAAAGGACATATGCTAATCGAAATGAAGACAAAGAACATGGTTTCAGAAAGTAAATATTAGCATGTAAAAGTTATGAACTAGTTCGCTGACTCAAGTATTGTTTAAATCAATCATGAATCGCTTGTATGTCAAACTAGACCATTGTTGAATGTAGACTAAGGACTGAGCATTAGCAACTTTGATCAAAATATGGTTTTGTTTCAGTTTCCTGTCACATACTCACATGTGTAAGCACAGTTCTAGTAAGTGCACCGAAGACCTGATTTGGTATACAACTCATTACAGGTTGTGGCTGAGGAGTTTGATCATAGGCCCTTCACAGATTTTAGTTACAGGAGGACACTGAGGATTCACAGAAGCACCCTTGATAGTTCGCACAAGGCACATAACAGTGTTCAGTATTTAGGTGAACCTTCCTGAATTAATTCTTAAGATGCACAGATACCTACTTGGTTGAGCGGGGTGCAATCCCCATATTTCAAAATTTTCTCACTGAGAAGTTTCCAACATACAGAATATTTGGCAAACTATTAACATGATATAAGTCCAAAATAGGAAAAACCTCCAAATTAAGATGTTAAGTCTTGGAATTTGGCCCTGTTAGATTTCAGCTGAAAAGCCAGTCTGAAAAGTACTGTTCAGCTGATTTGTCAAGAGAGGAAAACACTGTATCATGACTGATAAGCCTGAGAAGTTCCATGAAGGCACTGGTGCAGATCACCGTACTTCTTGGATATAGGAATGAAACAGAAAGTGGGCGATATGAAGCCCTCTATCAATGTCTCCCATCGCCTTGTAATCCAACCCAGCAAGCATAGCTCCTACGATGATAACGCAAACATGTTTATGTGACAATGTAAAAAGTTTATTTACTATTAGTGTATACAGTTGAAGGCCAAAAGATGAGTAGTTACCATGGTTTTGACAAGACCATTATGACACGATTCTGCTATACTTTTTAAGGGCTCAAACACTTTCATCCACTGCTCTTTAGGAGCTTTAAATATCAAACTAGCTCCAGACATAACCCAAATGGTTCGCTCATAAATCAAATATATGAGAAACACTTAGCTCACCATTGCTTCCACATTAGAAACTCGTTGATCATTTTGCGATGCTCCATGTTGTGATAGCATTGAGTGAGTTCAGAATCATGGCTTACTTTGGAACTGCTGGGGTGCATGGCTTATTACTACCATCATCCAAGCTGTTTCTTTCCACACTGTTCAAAAGTGTTTTCAGTCCTCTCTCAGCCAAACAAGCACACGACGATGAATCCAGCGTTTTCTGAAATTCTTTAACTATAATCCTTGAATGGCCCGTGGATTCTGCCCGTGGTTCACCAGAACTAGTGGGAAGTCCACCGTCACGAGCATTCATGGTCTGTGCAAAACATGACAGATTCATCATATTCAATATTGACTCGGCATACTCATGGCATGCGTTGTGCGCACCACTAGCACAAATGCCATCAATATCCATCTCAACAACCGCTTCAAGAAGAGCACCAAGGTTTTCCACGCTCATTGTTTTTGCTTTCAGGAAATGTCGCATAACCAACACCCTTGCCATGGAAAGCATTTCTGAACGTACAGCAGCAAGACCCTGCACATGTAACAGAACATCACTGCGTCAGTGCGTTTAAAACCCCCAGAATCAACACATACACCATACAAGCTCTGGAGAAGCACCTTGGGGAACTCGGCACTTGAAGTGAGCTCAAGGAGTGCCGCATCGAGCTCTCTTGCAGAATCCTCGTACTGGCCCGAGTCATGCAGGTCCTTGAAAATCTGGACACAATGCAGGCACACAATCGAGCAGCTCAGGAGACAGGTCTCGGACGCACTAACCGGCATTGCTTACAAACTATTTGTCGCGAAAAAAAAAATCTGCAAATGTCTAGCATAAGAAATTGGCACAGAGAAGACATTATGGAGGCGAGAGGGGTCAGGGTCACCGCTAACCCCTCGAAGAAGAGCGCCCACCGGAGGGCCTTCTTGACCTCGTCGGCGCTCCAAGTAGCAGCGGCGCCGGACGAGGTGCGGCCGCCGGCAAGGACAAGGACGTCCACGAAACCCCGCACCAGAAAGAGCACCTCCTCCATGGCCACCGCCGGGTGCGCCCACCCCATTTTCCGAATGGGTTTGGGATTTCAAAGCTAGCGAGACAACGCACGGCGACGGCGGAGACGGAGCACGGTGTAAGCGCTAAGCGGGCCAAGTTGAAGTTGGGCTGAGAGGTAGCAAGGGGTGGCTCCCATCTTCTCAGTGGCCTCATCGGCCTGGTAGGCTGTTGCATGAGGAGTCCTCTCATTTTTTTCCCCTTTTCCTCTCGCTCTTCCGTGGTGTAGTGGTGTCTCTCGTCCACGTGGATAGAGTGATTCCCTTCTCTTCCTTCCGCAAGCAATTGGTCTTGCCCTCTTCCGCAACCTTTTTTTTTGGAAACCTAGGTTTTCATAATAATTATAATATAAAATGTCGTTAATCGAGTATATGCTCGTCTCCAGAAAAAAGGACAAATATTATATATTATATAGTCCCTTGTTCCTAGTTTATAGTTTAATTTAATTTTATCCTAAGTCAAATTTTTCTAATTTTAATATATTATCCCTTATTTTTTACCACTCCAAAAAGGAGTAACAATCACGTAGCTCTAATCTCAGTTTGTATGTGATTATAAAACAATCAGTTTTCATTTTCTTCTAAACTTGATGTCGTGAATGCTTGCATTTTCATGAAATAATCTCAGAATTTAAACGCTTTTAGCAATGCTCGACGTGCCCACAAGGTGTCTGTTTCATCAATCTCAAGAATTGTCGGCTCAACTTGCAGCAGCTCTTTCATCACCTCTAATAGAGGTACAGGGCACAGACGTGCACAACGGTTTTCAAGCTAAGATAATTGCATGAGCATCAAACTGGGGTACCAAATAAACCATATACTGACCAAAAAAAGATACATCAAACCACCAGGGAGTCTGACTTTTAATTCAAAGCACTATAAACCAGTACTTCCATAGCATTAGGGCTAAATAGTTCAGAAGTACAATTCAATCAAAAAGTTCCAAGTTCTAGCTTTTCAGGTTCTTGATGGCAACATCCAGACTTAGTTGCTGGCGGCAGCACTCTTCTTTGGGGCAGCCTCGGTCCCTGGGTTGAGGTTAACAAAACCACTCAAATTAGGCCACTCGGGTTTGACAAAGAAATATGTTAATTCCCATGTCAAAATGCAGGGATCATCAACAACAAAAGAAAGGTACCTTCTCTGAAGTTGCTCTTGAAACGCCGAGGCACGTGTCGCATGTACCTCATCCTTCCGGTACCAGTTGTCTTGCGCCTGATGGCCTTAATACTCCAGTTATCTGAAGTAATGGACGACTATGTTAACATTGAGTCCATTCAGGTTAGAGCAAGGCATACGAAGTTGAATCGAACACAGCTTATAATCCTAAAACTAGGTTTACAATTTACAGGATTTCTAATCAATACAGTTCAATTGTTTAGAAACCAAACTATCATTGAAACCTAAACCCATGAGACAAACAAATGAAACAGAAATATGAGAAGGCACCGAGAAGGCAAAGTCAAAAGACAAAGACAGAATGCAAAGAAAATCGAAAAAATGTGGCAGGGTCATCAGAGACTTAAAACGAGGGAATCACAAGAGAATAATCCCATCATATTGTTGCAGTTAAATACTCATCATCTGACCAGGGAAGCAGGCAAGAAAAACTTAGATACGTATCTTGGCAAGAAAAACAGTGCTACGAGTCTCAATTACTAAATGCTTGAATTTTTCAAAGAGAACAGTGACAATCAATGTTTTGTTTAGTATAATGATGTTCAGAATATGGCGCAAAAGGATATAAAGACAGAATCATCAGACTTAAAACTTGGGAATCATTGGAGAATAACTCCAATCATGATGTCGGAGCAGTTAATTGCCCATCACTTGATCGTCGACAGTGGAAGCAGGCAACAGGAGTGTTTAAAATGTAGTGCAAACTCACGCAATGATATAAGAGGCAGCATTATGAAACAAGTGCCAATTGATAGAAAATTCGCCAAATGACTCCAACAAAGGAGGTAAAGCAGAAGCATTTGTGTTGAAATACAAGAAACCAGTGACCCATCAAAAACAGAACTTGGTAGACTGATGCTCACTGCTCAGAACATGAAACATCTTCTCATTAATGCCAAGGCATCTCTGAAGTCTGACATGGGAATATAATTTTCATGATTCATCATAGCTTTCACTCAGTAGTCAGTACACAAAATCAGGTGGAACATATTACAAAAAAGTGCATACAATGAGGTTTCTGGATGAGGGCAATGCCCAAAACATACAAGGCGTGAACAGCAGCACAAGATAATATGGTCCATACGAATCAACTGTTCTGAAGTACCACAATTGGCACACTGGGATCAGCTTGGAAAACATTGTTGTCAGTCAAGTATAATCAGAAACACGGACCAATGTTTTCTTCATCATTCCCGGCAGGAACAAATTCAGCAGCACATTAAGCAGAAAGCACATAAGCCAGTAGCATAATGATAAACAGATATGCATACAAAACTAAAAGCACGAAACCTACTACATATGTGACAACGTTAAAAAGCTCATCCAGTTTTAAGTTCATAATAAAACATACCAAATCACACTGTTTGGTCATCTAGATATATGCCACGGAGCAACATATTACAGACAGGGCAAAACAGCACAGGGTAACACTAAAACTGGCTAGATCTAGCAGCGGGGCAAAAGGACGAAGAGAGAGGGAGAGAGAGGAAGCGAGGAGGCGGATCTTACACTTGCGGATGCGGGCGGCGGGGTAACCGCAGGAGGAGCAGGTGCTCTTCTGGAGGTGGAAGCTACGGCGGCCGCAGCGGATGCAGAGCGTGTGCGTCTTGTTCCGGCGCTTGCCGAAGCTGCCCGTACCCTTCCCCTGCGAGCCACAACAACTGCACGTTAGCGGGCGGACGGAGGCGGAGGCGACGGCGGCGCGCACGTACCATTCCTTCCTAGCTCTGCTCGGCTAGGGTTCGAGGCGGAGGCGCGGCGTGGTCGGGTTGGGAGGAGTGGCGGCGTGGGAAAACCCTAGCGCTTTATAGCGGCCGACGCACGCGGCGCTGGTCACTGGGCTTTTGGTCCGTAAATGGGCCGACCGGGTGTCTTTGCCCTACCCTTCTTACATAGGCTTTTGACCACCCGGTGGATTGGGCCCCCAACAGTGACGGCTGTTGTTCACATTCTGAGACTGACGCGGTGTTAAATTTTGCATTTTTAGTTCTTTTTGAAAACTATTTTTATAAATAGATCCTTCAGAAAAAAAATAAAAAATGGAGCTAAAGCCCAGCGTTAAATAATAAAAAGTTAAATAATAAACCGTCCAGGTCTTCACATTGGCATTATGTCAAAAAAAAGTTGCGCTCAAGCCTGCCACATCAGCCCCAACGTGGCGTGACCTCGTCAAGCCTTGGAGTGAGGTCATTTAGCGCAGACCCCTCCTACCTCAGTGTTTAATTGGCTCATCATGCCGATGTCTGGGCACTAAAAAAATGTGGGTTCGTTGAAATTTTCATTTAAAGTATCTTAAATGAGTACATAAATATACCCAAACTAATAAATAAGTATATAGCCATACGCGAGGTGGTTCGTTGAAGATGGGTGTAGATATGAGTATAAAAAACTCTCTGCTACATCATTTTCAATAAATCACCTTGTGTATGGGTGCATACTCATTTATCACTTTATATTATATATACTATTTAGAGCCATGAGCTTTCAATAGTTATTGGAAGCCCCGACCATGGTCCATACAAGATGGTTGGATGGCAGCGTGCCAATCACTAGGATCCCCTACCTCTCTCTGCCCCCACACCTACACCACCATCAATGTCGGTATGCGTAAATTTCTTTTTCCGGAGCATATAGAAACATCAATGCCTGTGACCGGTGGGATAACACGGTTCGTCAACTCTACTACTACTACTACTTCATTACTAGCTCACTCTATTCCTCTTTGGTGACGATTTTGGCTAGGTTCAGTGGATGTTGGTGGGTTTCATAGTACAAGAAGTTGTGCCATGTTGATGTTAGTGCATCTTCCGATTTGGGGAACATGTAGTCGAGGACTCATGTAGCTATTGGAACACAAAGTAGGGCCCTGTTTGGGGGAGCTTTAGGTAGTTTTTACTTCTCCAGAAAGCTCATAAGGCTAGAATCCCCTCCAAACAAGATAGCTTCTCAAGCTGACAAAAGCTCCAAAAGCTATACTTCATTATACTATAAGCAGATCGAGAAGCTTCCTCAGAGTAGCTTCCTGTGCTTTTTTCAGAAAGTTTCTTCATGAGGAGATTCTGGAAAAGCTACAGCTTCCTCAAACAAGAGCTAGAGCGTGTTCCCCACAAGAGCAATGGCCACAAAATTGATGTTGTCAATGGGGCGTGGGTGCCAACGTGCCGTGCGGATGATAGGGCATTCCACGCGCCTGCATCCACCACTTCCATATGATTGGTACCCACGTCGACGAGGAAGTGGCGGCGGTAGACTCAACTGATCGTAGGGACGTCGTTGGCGGCTGCGCCGCAAAGCACCGTGGCCTTCAAGCTTTAGGGGTGTGGTGCAGTGCCACCCCGAGGGCAGCGATGGAAGGTCCGTCCGCCCATTAGTGGTGGGGTCCCAACTCCCAAACGGGCAAACGGCTAACGAGCAGCCACTCCCTGAGGGACCAACGTTGTCGGGGTCACGACACCAGCCATTGCCCGTTGATGAGGCCCCCGAGAGGAGCACGGGAGGACGGAAGGTGGAGGTGGACACGATTGCACCAAGGAGGTGCCCTGCCTGGCACCAGCGAAGAAGCTGAGCATGGAGCTCGTGGAACGGGCGTTGGCGCGGACGGCGCCCGCCATGTCCGCGGGCAGGAAATGCAACGGGACTGTCTCGATGAGCTCCTCCGTTAGTGTGCTCGCAGGCAGCAGCGACTTACGATCATGATCTGACGCCTAGCATTTGTAAGCAACGTGGGCGAATGACGTGCAAGATTCTATGGTGCAAAATTCGCTGAGTAGATAGATAGATAGTAGATAGATATGGTGAAAATGGTAAAAATGTCAAAATATTGAAAGTGTGT